CGTGCCCCCAGGCTGGACCTATGAGCACGACATGGAGCTGGGGCACTTCCTGTACGATCACAGTGAGAAGAAGCTGCAGTGTGTGGACTGCACCAAGGAACACATCAACAGCATCGAGGTCTCCTCACAGACGGTGCGTAGTGGGGCTCCTCTGCAGTCTAAAATCAGCATAAGACACGTGAACATCACCACAGATGTGGGGAGGAGTGGCCAGCTGTGGCTATCCCTTCTATGAGGGGCAAGGGATGGTGGAATGGTTTTGCTGCTCTAGCAAAGCTGTTGGGAGTTAGGCATTGGGAGCAAAACCCCATTGTGTCTCTGGGGCACTAGGGGTCCACAGCAATGCCCAGCTTGCTATGTCAAGGAGCCAACATCCACCCACAGCCTAACAAACCAACAGACTGGCCTGTTCCTGATCTCCTTTGGACCCACAAAACCCATCTCAGAGGATGCCATGGTGTGTCCAATGATGCTCATCTCCCTCCCTCTGCTTGCTGCACCTTTGCAGGAGGATTGTGTTGCAGCCCATTTGACAGACAACCTGACATACACCTTCTGGGAGAGCAGCGGGCTCCCGGGGCAGCACTGGGTGCGGCTCAACATGAAGAAAGGCGTCATTGTCAAGTGAGACCTCGGGGTGTCCCCTCCATGCCAACAGCTGTGCCAGGGAAGGGCAGGGTGTGGGGCAAAGCACCTCTTCCTCTTCAACCCCAGGGTGTGGGGTTGAGGTGGGGGACACCTGCTGCCAAAGGCACCCCAGGAAGATACAGCTTTTCCCCAGGCCTGGGACAACTCTGGCTGCGTCTCTGGGCCCAGGCAGCTCATGAAGGGAGAACAATGCTATTTCTTGCTCTTCTCACCCCCAGGAGGCTCTGGCTGACACTGGATGGGCAGTCCAGCTCCTATGTACCCAGGAGAGTGGCTGTGTATGGGGGAACACCAAGCAGGCTGCAGCACCTGAGAACAGTCCTAATTAACGAGTGAGTAATGAGTGAGGAGCAGCCTATGTCCAGCTTATGCCAAACTCCTGAGCTGTCTCTGCATCCTGAGCAAATGTTAAGGATGGGGCTGGGGTTGGTTCTGAGTGACTTGCCAGTGACAGTGGCTCTCCAATGGTCAGAACTCCGTGAGTGCAGGCTATATCTGCTCCCACAAGTGTGGTGGTCCCTTGCTTCCATGTGACAGTCAGGTCCCTTAATCTCCTCTCCTGCTCCTCACCCATGCTGCAGCAGCTGTTTTGCAGCGTGCTTCCTTCTGCTTGGTGACTTTGGTCTTTCTGCCTCTTCCTCCTCACTTCTGGAAACACATGCCACTGCTGTCACCTTCCTGAGCATCTCTGCTATGCTGTAGCCAAGAGTGCTTCACCTCTCCATCTTCACTCTGGCCCTGAGCACCCTTCTCAAGGCAGCCAGGGGCTTACACAGGAGTGCAAAGGTCTCCTTCGCCTTCCCCCATACTTATTTGATGTTTTTTGGCTGAGAAGTGATATCTGTCTCTAAAGAAGCACCCATGAGACTGCAGAGGTGTCCTTTGCAGTGGCAGGAACCAGCTGCTCACTGCGTCTTGAATATTTGCAGTGTTTTTTCCCAGGACCTTGGTGGGACCTTGACAAAGGCATTGAAAATACACTTTGTAAATTGCTCATATAGGCAAATCACTGTTTCTTTAAACACACCACGCTTGCATGACCAGCTCTGCTTGAAGGATGGTTCTGCCCTTGTGAGATGTGCTGGGAACCCCCAAGAACAGTGACATGCTCTCAGCCATCTTGTCTTTCTGTACTGCTTTGAATTTGTGCTCTTTTCTGGCTTTTTGGATGCAGCTTCCACTTCCTCCAGAACGTCTCTGTGCCTCTGACAGCCTCTTCTCTCTGCTTGGGCACCTCCTGCCACAGCCCTGGTGAGGTGGGGGGGCTTTTGCATGGGTAGAAGCACATCCTTGGCTGGGGAGCCAGAGTGGCCTGTGCCTCACTGGCCACCTCACCGTTGTCTGTGCTTCATGGCTCTGCCATCTCCCTCTGTGCTGTGTACAGGAACAGCTACCAGAATGTCTGCATCCTCCGTGACATGAAAACCCACATGCCGGTGCTGGAGATCCGCTTCCTGGAGTGCCGGGGTGAGCCTGTGC